ACAACAGGCTGGATTCGTTAATAGGAATGCATGAAATAAATAGAGCAGAACGCTATATGCTTTGCTGATTTATATAAGAATGAAGGGATTGAAGAAGCTAGGTGTGGAAATTAAGAACGGGGGATTAGAGTAAGGAAGAGAATACGAAGCAAAGAGCAGAAACTGAAAGAACCATAAACGGTTATAAAAACTGATAGTCATCTCAGGCAGCCATACATGATCAAAATTCTGAGATCCATAGAAGTCGAGAGTTAACCATAAGCTGGATAGATGAGAACAAGTGCAGATAAGTGATATCCTATGGCAGTAATAAACATGGACAAACAAACACGGGCACACAAACAATAAAGGGGCAGAATGTCCTCAAAGAAATCTAAAGGCCAATCTGAGGGGCTAAGGAGACAAAAGACGTGGCAGACATCTAAAGAACCGCCAACAATAATCGGGCTAAAAACTAAAAAACGTATGGCTCTACCCATGAAGAATGTGAGACAGAGTATCTGGTGCAACACTAGCAATACAAGGTCCCTCATCGATGGGAAAAATAATTCGCAAATAATGCATGTAACGGAAATTAAGCCTGATTAGAAAAAGCCTTCGAGCAAAAAATGGACTCACTTCTAAGAAGGATAATCGCGAAAGTAGGTCCGAAGAAATGCTGGTTGAAATAGGAATTTGTAGACCAGCAGATCCCCATTTTGTTATCCCCCCAACTGCCTGGACATTTGAAGTGGTCTGGAGCAATCGGCGCCCAATATGCGGAGTCATGAACATATCACTCTGAGAACGTGGAAGGGGAGTATAAAACCTGAGTGTACCGCTACTACGACCATTAGCAAAGTGGCCAATAGCAGGAAGGAAAGCAAGGCTGATTATACCGAACCACGAGACAGCCATAAGGATTCTTGAGGCACCTTCGGAATCAGTAGACCCAGAATCAAAACGAATTTCGAAGCCACACGATTCATTCTCCTTTATTTCCAGGTCAGAACCAGTCATAGATATTTCTGATTGTATTTGGCGCATAAAAGTATTTGATGAGTGGGACCCTGTGACATGAGTTAAGTGCGAATACTCTTTGGACAAAATAGGGGCTCTCTCAATCATAATGCCGTCTGTAGAATGGATAGAAAATTCGTCAGAAGGTATTTCACCCCTTCCCAGGTTGACGATCACAGCTAGAGAGACGTAAAAGAAGATTGATAAAAACAGATTCACAAAGTCATAAATGCTCCCTAAATTAGACTGGTTAGCAAGAACTTTCACTGGGAGAGAAAATACTCTGTTGTCCTAACAGATACCAATAGGGATAGACGAGAGAGCAAACAAAAATTTTGTCAAGACATATCAAAAAGGACTAAAAAAAATTATATAAGGGAAAAACGAATTTCGATGGATATCTTGAGAAAAATTGTTGAAGAGGCTTTCATTTCGTATTAAAGTGCTTGATAAAGAGATCTCACTAGAAGACGACGGCCGATTTTGTACCGCAGCCGTTTGGCTTTAATACCAAGTTCAGGTTGACGCAGTCCACGAAACATTCTCTCTCGTTTCGTGTGAAAACTGGCTGAGCCTTTGCTCGAAATTACAAGCATCATGAGAGCAGGGAGTTATTCTTGCAAAAGTCTTAAGTTAGAACTAAATAAAGTAGTGGTTTATGTTGGAAATACATAGTTATTTATGCTAAAGATGATGTAAGGCTGTTAAATAGATGAATAATCGCCCATGAAAGCGAAAGCGAGAAATACATTACGAACAACAAGTTCAAGACAGTAAATAAAAATCAGGAAGTGAAACATTTGCATATCGTGATAATGAATGGCTAAGGATTCTCCTTCTATTTGAACAATTTAAATATCATAAGCCCGTCAAACATTTGAAAGAGACCTGAAATTTATAGCATATCGCATTTTCTATCCTCTCCTAGTAAATAGTAGGTAGAATAAGCGACGTGGCCTGTTGCCCTATAATTTGTTTAGCAGGGAGCGAAGAAGATAGTCCAGCATTAGGTTTAAGCGGCATGGAATACAAATTACAGTTTATAATTCTGAAGCCCTCTCTTGTAAATAAGTGAGGCTCAAGTCTCCGCAGGAAGAGACCAGAAAAGGGTTTTTTACGTGAGATAGATTATATATAATATTAATGTTCCCTTAATTCAAGACGCCCATTGCAACATCTTTTTACATAATTATGCCGCAAGGCACGATCATAAACTAGAGTGCCACAGCGAAGAGGATAGTTTTTAGTCTCTTGGAATCATCATGGTCTGACAAGTAAAATGAACAAGAATAGCTATTGCGCACAACATTTAGCTCATAGCATGGACTATTGATGGACCAAATCTAAAAAAGCTGCTATTGTGATTTTTCCCTATTTCCAGTTCTTGTGCACTCTAGTTGCCGAGAAAGTAAGGAAATTGTTAGGTAGTAGAAGAAAAGAGCTAGAAAACAGCCATTATGAGCTCCAGCACAGTGAAAAGGATTTGAAAGGTTCTCCTCTACTCTGATTTTGCTTTTGACGAAATTAGCCCGTAAATAGTC